AAAGAATCCCACTCTTGCCTATCTTCTTCACATCATATAAAACCAGTTTTATTCCCCACAAAGAACAAAAACTTAAGATTTTACAGTTTTGATTTGTGAAGCTATTAAAGCCATTTCAAAAATATTAAAAATGATGAAAATATTAAATTCAAACAGCTCCACTGGTGTCGCCACATCCATTATAATTTGTTCCAAATAATTATTTGTGCTCCCAGCAAATTTTTATTAGCCATTCCTTGCTTTCTTTTCTGATTTACTGAGGTTTTAGTATAGGGAGTTTTTTTTTTTTTTTTAAAGATTTATTTATTTATTCATACAGAACTGGGGTACAGGCCAGAGATGCAGAGGGTGAGAGGATTCACCAGGGACAGAGTGGGGACTAAGTACACTGCTGAGGGGAGCAGCGGGCGGGTCAGGAGAGGTCTGCCTTGCCATGTGGTCTCCTCCGGGGCAGGCAGGAATTGAACTAATGCAGAAGTGGCTTAAGCTTCTTAGTGCTGTGCTTTAACCCGCTGAGCCACCAGGGAGGGCCTAGTATAGGGAGTTTTAAAGCTTTACCTCCCCTCCCTGTTTCTATCCTCCCTCCACCAATCAGGTAATACTTATAAAAACATGGGCAATTGATCAATTAATTAGACTGATTAAAAATCTGACATTATTTGGGAACATAGTATTTTATACAGTTGTATATCACTTAACAGAGTAGATTGATTCCTGAGTGTCATGCTAATTTCTAGAAACAAAACCATACTTTTATCCCTAGACAGTAACCCTGGCCCATATTCACAATTATGATGATTATAATGTCATAAATTTTTAGAAATCACACATTTAGAAATGGGGGGGAAAAAAAACCTCTGCATTTTGCTAATTAAGAAATTAATGGTAAAAATTATTTCAAAGTTAAGCAAACACCGTACCATAAAATTTTTCTCTTTGACCTTTATCAAGGTAAATAGAAGACATGCCCAACTCTTGAAAAACAGGAATTTCCCCATATTTTCACTATGCTAAATATAGTGAAATACCTTGCCTAATGGATCAGAGAGGTAAATTACCACATTTTAAATCTTCTCGTTTCACAACCCATCAAATAACTAGTAAAGTTATGAAAATTCTTAATGTAGATAGGTCTAATTTGACTAAGGATAGTTAATGCAATTTTGCAATATGGTTCATCCACTTGTTTGCCCATTCATTCATTCATTCATTCATTTATATTTGTGATACATATTTACTGCCAACTATGTACCCACAATGCTGTAGATGGGAGGAATACAGCAGTGAACAAAACATCAAAAAATCCCTGCCCTCATGGAGCTTACATTCTATTTCCTCAAAAGGTATCTCCAACTAAAATACAAGTACTGAAAATCCAAGAGGAAAGCTTTCTGAAAGGTTCCTTAGTCAAAAGGAGCAAATGCTACCATCAGTACTACATATACATTTGTTGTACTTAATTTCTTTTCATTTAATTTATATTAACTATTTCTAACTTTCCTCAATTTATACTTTATAACTTATAACTACTTCTGATAAATTCTACTGGTTCCTTGAAGAGAGTAAAAAGAGATAATCCTTTAAAATTTCCAACCTATATTTGATGATTACCATCAAGTGATCCTCTTTATAAGAGTAAATTCTTTGTTGTTAAAAAAATGGGCTTTACAATTAGACTGTTTGCTACCTATGTTTCTCCATGACTTAACCTCTTACTGTGGATATCAGTATTTGAAGAAATTGTCAGTGTATGGTTGGCATCTTAACTGCTTTTCTTTTTACTGTTCCATTAATGAATTTTTGCTTCTCAGCATTAATATGTGGTAAAGGTTATCACTAGGAACTAGACTTCTTTGTAGCAGCAATGGCAGCTAATTTTTACCTGGCATTGCTGTCACTGCAATTATGCCAATGTTCTCTGGAACCTTCTTTCACTGTATTCTCACCTCCTGCCCCTTCCCTTGCTTTCCCTTACCTAAACCCTTGAATTCTTCTAAGTTTAATACAGCCATGCCACAATTGTCGTCAAGCTTAGCGGTCTTTCATCTTTTCTCGGGATTCTTCTCCCTCTTCAAGTCACAATCAGTGGTAATATTTTCCATTCTCACCTGCAGAACTCTTTCCACCCTCCTTTCTGACAGGACACTACAGAAAATCAGGAAATTTTTAGGTATGCCACAGAGTGATAAAGGGTGCAAAGGTAAGAATACCAACTCACTCTGCACATAATACAGAAAGATCCAGGCCCATTAAAGTAAATGTCACTCTGGGTATGATTTCTGCATTTTCATTTCTATATTTATCAATAAATATTTACTGAACACTTATTAGGTACTGTTACATAGTTGGTTTCTTCCAGTGGAAATAAACCAACACTACTCCAAAGCAAGAGTGATAAATCTTGACCTACAGGTCATATTCAGTCTTCAACTTAGTTTTGTCATATCAAAAGAGAAGGTACCAAGAAATGAGAGCACAATAGGCCTTGAGAAGTCCTTGGAAGCAATAAGACAGAGACATAATTCTATAAAGAGAGAAGGCCTGTACCTTTTTCCTTTACTGTTGTGAATACTTCTCATGTCTCTACCTTTTGCTCTTGGTCTCTCTTCTTCACTCTGCCTTATTTGCTTAACTGGCCATTGGCAGGGCAGTATGATATATGTTGATTCCTGTATTTATTGCATTGCATTCACATTTTCAATTAAAAAGCCAGACCAAACTGAACATTCTGTTGTTTTTTTTTTTCTCTTGCAACAAATGCCTTTTTGTTGGGGTTGGGGGGTAAAAGCGGAGGGAATCTATAGTCCTTGAAGTTTCTTTCAGAGTGTCTCCACTCATTAATTCACTAAACTGAAGTCCCACCTTGGTAAGCATAAATATTGCATCAAAAAGCAATAAGCATTATACTTCAAGAATCTACACATAAAAAAGATACAATCTAGGTTCATAAGACATAAATGTAAAAAGCAAATCAATATTTTATGAAGTAAACAAAAATCTAATTAAATACTTCAACAAAAATGAAAAAAATGCATTAAAAGGAAAAATTATTTTTACATACTGAAAATAAGCATTCTCCACTCCTAAGAACTTTTTTTATGCAGACTTTATCACAAAATTAGTTTGCAATTTCCATTTTACAATCTCTTTTTAGTAATTGCTGTGAACTGTTACTCAAAACACTGAATTTCCCAGAAACAGGTCTTCCTAAAATCTCTATAAACCCCATCACATAAGAATGTCACAGTATCTTTTCTTCACCACACAAAAAAATCTATAATTAATAATTATAACTTATTCTTTATTTGTCATCTTTCTACAGAAATGATCAGATTTTAGCCTTACCATTCATACACATTATGAATACAAATTTTAATGGATGACTGATCATCAACTGTTATGGTGCAAGTTATTTCTAGAACATGATATCACAAATTAAGTCATTAATTCCAAAACAACAGTTTATTAACAAAAAGGTACAAAGAAGTACAAATGTACATCCTATTTCTTCCCCTCTCCCCCAAATTATGGTCTAGCTATCTCCCTTTCAGTTGATGACATGGCCTTCTTGAGCTAGAAGAATGTTTATAATAGTTCTTTTTCCAAAGGACACGAATAACTGTCCAAAAACAAATCATTAAGTATTTGTAAGTTTTACAGTCCATGTCAATTTTTTAAAATAGATGTTTTATCTATATGAGTTGCCATAAATGCTTGTTCCCTTGCAATACACCATATACCTAAACTTAACAAATGGTATCAGCATCAACATCCATAAACCATGCTTAGTCATAGGGAATATCATATTTGTTAGTATATCTGTCTTGAATTAACAGTTTACAAATGAAAGCTCAGAGGTATCAAAGGATTTCCACAGACATTTACTAAAAACACTTCAAGTCAAAATATTTTGTTAACTAAAGTATATTGCAGTACAGGGAAAACATTCCGTTTAGTTGTGTTTTTCTGCATTGACTATAAGTCAGTGCCACTCACACATCTAATCTTAATGCCATGATTTCAATTCGCTTCAAGAATGGTTCCTTTTCAATTTATTGCAACAAACCTAAAGATATCCCATACTTCTCCTATAAGACTGAAAACACCTTGTTGAATCTTGGTAAAATCTTAGTATTTTGTGATTTCTCTCACAGCGTTTTTTAAAATATCAATATAGATGGGGAATTTTATAAATTGCCATGTCCAATAAATACCCAACTTGCCCTATTTGCTATGGTTCAGCAAGACAAAACATATGGATTAATTTACTGATGTTCCTAAGTGCCTTGTGTAATATTTACTAGATTACATACTCTTTTAGATTGTAAACTCTATCCTTTTAGTTAGTGGAGGGAGCCAGGTTAGCCATTACCACTACACTCCCTGCTCACAACAATTCTGATAAAGAATATGAGTGTTGAGTTACGCTGTAGTAATATAAAGATGTCATACCAGTGATACATTTTTTAGGAGCTGAAAAATTCAGATGACCATTCACTAAACATAAATTCATTATTCCACAAAGATTTTATTCACATCAAACTTGCACAGTAGCAAAAAAAAAATCAAAACATAACTAAGCCACATATCAAAAACAATATACAATAGAGATTTGAATTTCTCAATGGCAACGGAAGTTATTTCCATAAATAACATTTACAATTCTAGTGTTAGGTCTTTCAAGGAGTCTAAAGCTTCACAGTGCTAGAATTTTTATCAGAAAACATGCAAAAAATGTGCAACACAATTATCCATATTAATGACACAAAAAAAAGCACGCCAGTTATTTGTCATTGCAGCATGGCCATGCCACTCTATGTTCTAAAAACAAACAACCCCCCAATTCCGGGTCCCATTCATTCTTCAATTATGCCTTTAGTCACTCTGCTTTATTATATTCAAGCAGTCACTGTTAGTGCTCTTCACCACGACTTTCAGGTTGACGTCACTCCCTGCCTGCTGGCTGTCAGGACTGGGGAACGCCCCTCTCCCAGACTCACCTTCTTCCGGATGTCTTCATCATTTGCTCCAAGAGAGGCATAGAGCTTGAATGCAGCCTGGCGGAGTTCATGAGCATGCTTTAAATCATGATCAAGCTATAGGAGGGGAGGGGGAGAAAGATATATTCCAACTCAGTACACAAATTAAATTTAATAAAATTTACTGGGTAGAGTTGGAAAAAAATGTTTGACAAGGACTGAGATTTTAGTGCTGTCACTGAATTCTGGTGTGCTGTTCACAAATGACTGAGACCTTGTTGTGTTTGTATCAGTATGATCTAGATGCATATAGCGTGCATCCATCTAAAAATGAAAACCACAACATCTGATGCTGTAATAGAAAAATCATTTGTGTATCTCTATCCCTAAAAATTCAGTTTCTAACTGGTAGTTTTAGTGGCACTGATGCTTGCTTGCACTAGCATTCTGAACTGCATTCCTCAAAAATAAGGCAAATGGAGGATTTCCTAGCCCCAGAACACATTGCTACAACAAAGCCTTTAAAAGATTTCTGCAGGGCCCTCCCTGGTGGTGCAGTGGGTTAAAGCACTGCACTGAGAAGCTAAAGCCACTTCCGCATGAGTTTGATTCCCGCCTGCCCCGGAAGTGACCACATGGCGTGGCAGACCTCTCCTGACCCGCCC